GGTAAAAAGCAAACGACATCCTATAAAATAATTTTTTTTTTGTCTAAGATCCTCAACTTTTGTTTAATGGTACTCTAGACATTTTTTTCCAGATTTTTGTGGAGCTTGTTGTTCTGAATTCATTAATGTATTATACTTTAATGGCATTTGAGCGCATTATATTACAAAAATACACTTGTTTATATTTCGTCTAGAGTGACCAAGACAGGAAACGGATTAACAATTGTTCCAAAATGTGAATTCGTTGATAAAGGTAGACTTTATAAGTGCAATTCTGTAAAAAAAAATTGTGAAATTTAAAGCGTGTTAAATTGCAAATTTCCACAGAAACGAGTTAAATTCGTAAATTTAATTGGCTGTTTATTTTTAACAACCTTTAAATTTTAAGACATTTTGATACACATTTGGGCCTATTATGCCGATATAGGGAGTTTTCCCACCTGAGAATGTTTCGATCAACATTATTTCAGCAAAGTAGTAATATAAAAACAAAAAATTCGCAATATTCGAACCGTAAACGATTTTCGCGTTACATGTTTGAAACCCAACACTAGGCGTAATGGACCACGCACCAACCTTCTAAGCACTCCGCCCCTACTAGTATAAACGTTTGAGGTATAATTTCGAATTTTTGTGAAAATGTGGATGCTCTGAGGAAAATCTGACGACAGATTCATAAAGAACAAGTACAGGAGTACGTTATTTTATAAAATTTAAACTCTACTTACTATGAAAAATTTTGGAGGATTGTCATAACGTTGTTGGTGGGGATGACTAGAAAATTTGGGTTAGTGTTTTACCATCTACATGATATTCCTAATATACGAACAAAATGTGGCAACAATCGGTCCAGTAGTTTCGTAAATTACGTGTCTAATTAAAATGGATACAGACACCAGACAAACAGATAGACAGCCAGAAACGGGGTCATGAAACGTCTAGAAAATGTGAAAATATGATGGACTCGATTACTATACTTCCTTGGCTTACGCTCGGGAAGTAAAAATATACAGTGTCATTTAAAAAAAGTTGAATGTGTGGTGACAAACTAGAAGAAATTGTTTTAATGTATATATGAAGTTTATCATAAATAAAAAAAGTTCTTAAAGTCTTAAAATCTTTTAATATTTCAAAGAAACGGGATTTGTTGGGCTGTACTTCACGAGCAAGGGAAGTCCTGTTGAAATAACCTTCAACCAATTTTTATTACACAGTTAATTTCCAAACTAATGGAGCGATTGTTGTCAAATTTTTTATGTAGTATGTTGGGATTATTTGTCTGATCGTCTCCATCATTTAAGTCTTATAAAATAACATACTCTTGTACTTGTGGTTTATGAATTCACCTTGACTTTTAGCTCTAGGCATCCAAATTTTCACAAGAAAATCAACATTTTATAATAACTGTTTATACTATGTAGTATAAGTGACTGTTAACTTGCTGTGCTTCAGGGGCTATCTTGAAAAACTTAGACCATTTTTTAACTTAAGTACAGAAAATCAAAAGTAAAAGTCATCATGGTGCATTTTCAATAAAAATTTGTTTGTTGTGAATTTTCCTAAAAAAAAACTTAAATGGTAAGTCTATTTGGATATATACCTTACTTTAGTCAATGTGTTACAATTATTAAATTAATGTTAGTCTTGCCCAAATTTTGGTATACAGAGTATTTTCAACACATTATTAAGTTCACAAGTTTGAGAAAAATCACCAAAAAAAATTTTTTTTATACGTAAATTTGACGTTCACTTAAAAAAACGATCGATTTAGACAGAAAAAAAAGTGAAAAATTAGCCACTATTCATTCTGAACAATGTTTAAGTTTTTGTGATTTTTATGAAGAAAACCATGGATAAAGACATAATAATTCCAAAATTATTCAGTATTTTGAAAATGAAAATTCCATCTATTTCCGGTAGTGAATTAAATATGGTTAAATATCGAACTGAAACAGTGTAGTTTGAACGCGTATACCTTCTATTATTTCTTTGCTCAATAAATAGTCCTTGATATAGAGTTAGTGCATCATTTATGGATCACCTGTATATATTGTTATGTAGGTTCCATACATTTTATTTTTCTTATGCCAACCCGTATACGTAAGGTACATTATGAATTTACAAGTAACGGAACATGTCACGTTATAAAGTTGCATTGTAATCGTGTATACTTTTATAGCGCTGAAATTAACTTGATGGCAAGCAAAAATGCAAATCTGTTTGTATCTGAATACATATGTATACCTCAATTTAAAATGAAAGCATTCAGCTGTGTCAGGTTACTGCCATACAGGAATTTATGTTATGCTTGCAACAAATTACCAGTTTGATTTACTAGTTCGTAGATATTTAACATAAAACCACCTTTTACATAGACGAGCGATTTTTAGACAGAACAGGCTATTTTTCAGGGTTATTAGAAATAGGCGAAGTTTTTTGAAAATTAATTAAATTAATAGCAAATGTGGAATTCTGAATATCTTGGAGAGCTTAGAAATAGTAATATAATATGCTAATGCAATGCACAGGTTGATCTCTCCTTTTCCCGCTTTTCGAGTCTGGAAAACAAAGGTAGAACTGACGTTTGTGTGTTTGGTAAGATACCAACATAGTTAACAAAACATCTGTACTCAGGAAAGAAAAAATAAAGTTTAACAGACGGTTAAAAATAATAATTAAATGTTAAAAAGAGACAGAGGTTATATTTTTTTATTTTTTATCTTAAAAACTTGAAAATTTATAAAATTATGTCCGTGAAGTATACACCATAATTAATAGTGCTTGAAAATCAAAGCCAAAATGTGTTCTAGAAAACGTAAACAAAGAAAATAATGAAAAAAACAAATGTGTTCTAGAAAACGTAAACAAAGAAAATAATGAAAAAAACAGTCCGTTTTGTGCAGAAGTACGTGAAACCACAGATACACCCATATCAGACTCTTATAATTCTTCTCTTTCTGAAATGATACAAAAAGAATAAATGAAGAAATTATATCCCCACGTAAAACTGCGAAAAGGCTAACGCACGAGATCGAATAAATCAGTCTTGACTGGAATACATAAGTTATTCCAAGATTTAAGAGCCCAATCCCGTTATAGGATTATGCAAGCTTGTATAAAATGAATGTTAAAAGAGAGTGGCAGCGTTCGCCGTTAATGTCGGCACAGAGTATCTATACAAGCCGCCATAAAACTTGGCACTCGCAATTTGTTAATTGTTACGAGCTCTCTACAGAGCAAAATTAAGCAGGAATGTCTTACAAAGTTTTTTATTTCGTGGCAATATAAAGAAAAAGAATCCGCTCATAAACCTCCGCCACTCGAGCGAAGACCCCTACTTAAAAATATATTCATTAAGTTAAAGTGCAGCAATGCAACAAAATAACGTGCAACAGCACAAGCATTTCAATGGCTCTTAAGAACCTCTGAAATAACGCTACGCGCATAAATTTAATAAATGTATGTGTGCACGGCGCGATGAAAAATTTCGACTGCAATAAACGCCAATTTGTTTGGTGTTCGGTCAATTTATATACACGTGCGTGCACTAAAGCCCATAAATAAATCGGCATATATTTTGATTTATTTTACGTTAATTGCAATTTACCATTAGAAGCGTCGGACGGTTTTATGGCGTTGTGTGGCTGCGATTTAGCTCAATTTGAAATTTAACTCGTCGATGGAATTAGTGTTGTTTGGAAATTAAGGCATGTTTATGTTTACTTGACTTGAGAAACTTCCTAACCTACAATTAAATTTTCATGGAATTTTCCTACTCGTATTTGCATTATTAATGACGGTGCTATTTGATTTTGACGGTTTTACAAAAACCTAAACTACGCCGGAACTGAATATTTCGCTTCTCAACCGTTAAATGAATGTCTGTGAGGTTCTCGCTCTCCCGGCGCATCCACCAATTTTAGTTGTCTCGTCAAGGGTCAATTGTGTGATGAAAATACAGGTTCCAAACATTAATTTAACTAATAATGGCTGACTTCTGAAAGGGGGAACGACAGTGGTGTAGCTTGAGGTTATTTCTTTTGAAATAAGCTAGAAGGAAAGTCTCTTTATTAGTCTTTCCACCAGTGTTTATATAACCCTCTTATATTGTCTCTCGTTTCGGCAATCGCTCGGTATTAGTATCGACTCATTCGGCGGCCATTTTTCTCAATTCTCCTGCACCGAAACAACTGTGAAAGTTAAATTTAATAGGACTTTCTGAGCGTGACACAGACACTGAAAACACCCTAAGAATCATTTGTATTATTAAATATACGTACAAGTTAAATAAGTTTTATTTTTTTGTTTGTCGAGTCCCGAGCGAATCGGTCAACGTCTGTTCGAATTTCCTCTTCAGAATTTTTCTCTCTTCCTTTTTATATATTTATGTACGTGTTCGGAGCTTTTCAAACTTCCCGGAACATATTTGTCGGTTGCTCGTTTCTCTCCAACTTCAAAAGAAAGTTCAAGGGTTGCGTCAAGTACGAAAAAAGCGAACAATTATTAAAATGATCCCGAAAATCATGGCGTCGACTATTAGTTTGTCGAAACTATTTCCGGAAAATTGAGGAAAAATTGTGAGAGAGCTTTCCACCCTTGTTTCCGGATAAAAGGGGGATGATTGACCCTCTGGACCGTCTCATCGGGCTCGTCAAAATCACTGGCAATGCTCAAACTATCCCTCCCTTATTTATTTTATTACCTTTTCAATCTCTTTCGAGTTCTGAAAAGCCACATAAGCGCGTCGTGTGTTATTACGGCCGCAGGAAAGCGATAAATTCATTACGTTTTGAATCTTTGTCAATTTCTTCGCTGGCATTGTTTTAATTCGTCCCTGAACGGCAGTTAAAGGGAAAAATATTTAAAGCGCCTAAAAAAGTTAAAAAACTCAATTACGGTAACAAGTTTGTGGGTATTTTGCCCCAGGGCATTCGCCCTTTGATAACGTTTTAACCCTTGCCTTGTTTCCTGAACTCATAAATATTGATTAGGCAACTTACACATGGCATCCAACAAGGTCGCTCCGACTGAAAAAAGCCCTTTTGGAAATAGCACATGCCTTATTAGCACTTCCGCGGGAAGCGATGTCAGCGTGATGTCCGTCTGTTTGAACTGACGCGTCGACCACATCAAACTTGCTTGCTCATTACACAACTAATCCATTTGTAATCCCGTAGTCAAGCTTGCACTGTCAATTAACAACAAGGCGACACAAAGCAACAAATTTGGCAACATGCGAAAAATTCTAATCAATCGAAGGAAATCCGCCTCCGTTTTTCCATTTAATTTAATCAGGCTGGATGGTCGATGATGGATTAACACAAAACAATAGTGCTGCACCCGCATGCATACGCAGCCGCCACAATACCGGTTGTTATAATTGAAGATTAAGCCCTTTTGGCATATGGACTAACTCCACTCCCGAGATTATAAGATTAGCGAGGCCCGGACGGACTTAACCAATCATTAATATTTTCAGTGGGGGAGGTAGGGACGATTTAATTATTAATTTGTTTTGATTAGAAAGGTGCGTTGGTAATAGAAAGTTTCACCAAGGATTTAGGGTGCTTACGTTTTGTGAATTTTTAATCAGGAGAGAAAGGTGTACGTACCACGTTCGTAAAGCGAAAACACAAATCCACTCTTAACACGCGAGAGGATTTTAGCCACAATATAGTTCGCTTTTAATTCATAAAACAAAAATTATTTGTGTATTCGGAGTTTTTTTAATGACGGCGTTCATTATAATACATGGTACAGTTGTAAATAATATATCAGATTCTCTTATTTGATTGTTCGATGCACTGCATTTACATGTAGCCGCACACAGAAAAAAATTAGCATTAATGACTCCGTATTTCGCCAACTTTGCTGGCATTCTCTCAGCGTGAAAATAATTAACCTATGGACAGACTACCCCATTATTTGCCCTAACCGCTACTCCTTCCAATCTTACTCTCCCTCTTCAAAAGGGAAAAGAGGGAAGATTGGGAAAGTATTTTTATCAGACACTCTCCCTTTTCTATTCTAGCACCTAGGAGTATTTCTATAACTAGAATATCAAATTGGTGAATTTTTTTTTTTCAAAAAAGTTGTCCAAAATTTTCGTTTTATATTCCCAAATTTGGAATAAGTCATGTTCTCATGTTTTAGCTGCATGTTTTAAATTTTGTTGTGTCAAAATTATATTATATGCTTTTGCAGTAATTTGTAGATTTGGGAAGGATTCCTGATCAACAGAATTCCATCTTCTCCAGGGTCGCCCTTTTCTTTTCTACCTTATCCGTTTCTACTTGGCGCATTGTTATCATGTTATCATTGATTCCTATAATATGGCCCTTCACATTTTGGCCTCCCAGGATCCTATTGTTTCTTATTCCACCTTATTTAAAATCTACGTTTCATTATTTTACTGTAACTCGTATTACTGTTCTGTAAATTATTTCTTTAGTTTTTCTTAAAACCAGCTTCGATCTCAATGTAGATCTAAGCAGTCCGTACTTTACTCCATTTTGCTATTCGTATCTTTATTCCTTGATTTTTATATTTTCTTCATTAGTCACTCCTAAACATGTAAATTCCTTTTGGAATGTATTTCCTTGTCCCTCCTGGATTTGTACTACTAGTTCCTGAGCTCGTGGCAATTTCGGTGTCTCCCATTATCATAAATGCTGTTTTTTGTTGGTTTATTCTTGCACCAAATTTTCCCGCCTCATTCACTATTTTGATTACCCTTTGTTCTATTCTTGTTCTGCTCTTTGTTCATTTCTTTGTTTCTCCAGATTTAAATCTATTTCTTCACTTGTCGGTGGTTCTACTGCTTGTCCATTCCTTTCTTCCTCCAGTTTTAAACCTGTTGTTCGTCTCCCTCTGGTTTAATAATTCGTTAAAATAACTTCTTCATCTATCAATTATTTTACCTTTTCCGCTAATTAGTCTTCCGGCCTCATCTTTTACAAATTGGTTCTGATACCTTTTTCCTATCTTTCTTTTAATTTCTTGATAAAGTGACCCTTTCTTTTCGAACTACTTTTCTATTTTTCTCAATCTTCATTATTAAATTTTCTTTTCTTTATCCTAGATATTTTCTTCATTTCTGTTTTTATTTCCCGATATTTTTGTATGTTACTCTCTATCCGCCAACATACTTTTTTTGTGTCCGTTAAAATTTTTGTTCGCACTCAAATTTAAGAAATTGGTCCTAAATATTTTGCTTTTGGTTTAAACACTTTAGCTACAGTTTCATTTGTGTCTCCAGTCACTAAAGAAAACAATTGGTAGATAGTTCTATCAATAGAATTTCCCCCGCTCTTGAAGTATCGTCCGACAAATGCCGCCTTCTTAAAAAATTATAAAATTTGGGGTAAAAACATAACACACATTCATAAATCATACACACAAAAGAGTGTTATTTTACAAAATTTAAAAAACGTTTGAGGTCATCATTTTTTGAAGAAGCTATAAACGAATAAATTTTGATAAACGATTTATTATGTCTCCCATGACATTAAAACTTCTAAGATTTCAGAGCATTCCTACACAATTTTGAGTTCTTCCCAAAAACCTGGTAAAACTAAATCACATATGCAGGAGTACGTAATTCTATAAAATTTAAAGAACAAAACTGTAAAGTGACGTAATTTTTTGGAGGGGTATAAATGAAAAAAATTTGATTAACGATTTACCATGTTTACGATAACCGTAAAACGTTTGGAAGATTTCAGAGAATTCGGTTTTGCAGTTTCAAAGTTAAATTGCAAAATGATATACAATTGGATGTTTTTTTTCCCAAAAATGTAGATGACTAGGCTAATAAAAACTCAACACCTATCCATGAAGTGCAGTTGCACTACTTATTTTGTAAAATTTAAATAATATTTATCACTGTAGCCAAATTTTGGTTCGCATTTTATCATCTACACGGTATTAATAATACACATAAAATTTGACAACAATCGGTTCAGTAGTTTCGAAGATTTTCTGTCTAATAAAAAACTGGACAGACGACAGACAAACGGACGGACGGACGGAAACGGGAGACATTTTTTTGTTCTTTAGGGATCATGAAACGTCTAAAAAACATGAAAATATCCAGTCTCAGAGGGACTCGATTAAAATTCTGAGAGTCAGCTAGGGAAGTATTGTAAAAGTTTAAAAAAAGTTCATATTCAGTAGTATACCTTCAAAATCGTCACGACAACTAAAAAATAAAATAGGAAAAGTCCTGTCTCATGAATTTAATGTCCACACGTATTCAACACCAAGATATACAGGGTGTTTACTAAACATGCGCCAAAAATTAAAAGGGTCATTCCTTGGATTATTTTAAGATTTTTTGTCCCTAAATGATCTTCGGATCAGGATTTTTATTTATGGGGCCATTTGAAAACAGTCACCACTCCAGCGAAAAATCAAGAAGATGTATTGCAATAAAAGAATAGTCATCAGTCCGTAGTTTTTGCAGCGCCCCGTATCTTCGAAAGAAAATGTCTTTCGGAAATCATCCATGGACAAAAGAAATCTTAAAATAACTCAAGGAATGTCCACTTGAAATTCTGCCGCATGTTATTAAACACCCTGTATAGCAATTGCAAAGCTGACATCGGTGCAGATACTACGAAAAACAAGAATAACCATAGAAAAAAAGCCACATATATTATGAGTTAGCTAGGGATACCAGTTATTTTATGTGCCTTTTATTTCTTTATACCTTCTTAATCGCTTTAAAAAACTTTAAAAAGTTCGGCAGTCAATGGAAACCCTAGCTGGCGCTACTTATTTTCAGAAGTTTTTATGGCGCCCTGATCTTGGAAACAAAGCGTCTTTCGGAAAATGATCCAAGGACAAAAAATCTTAAAATAACCCAAAGAATAACGCCCAGAATTTTTGCCGCATGTGTAGTGCACACCCTGTACAGCAACTGCAAGGCTGACAATAACGCAAACGCTACAAAACACAAAAATAACCATAAAAACACAGTAATGAATATTAAAAAATAACTAGGGATTCCTGTTATTTATCTGCATTTTATTTTTTTCTACTTTTTTAATCACTTGTCATATCTAGATTCTACAGAACATGTACTCTGACCCAAAATTAATCTTTCTTTTTCCGAATCTGAAGCGATTTGAGCCCACCTGAAAGTGCAGAGGAAAACGGTAGACATTGTTCCAAAATTTAATACATTATTCTAAAAATCCATAAACTCAGAACAGGAAGCGGAGACGGCGGACAATCACGATTTACGATTGTTTCTGCGGGTTTGAAAAGTTGCTTATTTTCTTGATTGCAAACAAAAAAATTTTTCTTGGCATTGCCGGTAAACTAAAAACGAGACACAGACGTCATGAAATTGTTGGCGGGGATGATTAGAAAGAAAAGGCCAACTTTTTAATGGTACATACTTTGGAACATATTATTTCGAAAGAGTTAAATAATCACAGTAATATGCAATTATACTGCTACGGGACATCAGTCAACAAGATCATAGTTGAAAAAAAACCTTTACTATTCGTACAAAAAATATATACTGGAGTATCCTTAACCCGGCAATATGCATTTTTTAGGTAACTAGTGTCTCTAGTCGCACCTTTTCAAGTAAAATAAAAATATTTACTAAACTACCTTTGAAAGAGGCGTCTTTTAAACAACTGATGTTTTATTGTAACTACCAATTCACGCAAAACAAACACAATCAGAGTATTCTTAATTAATGATTAACAATAATGTTTCTTTATTTTTAAAATTATGTGAAGTACATGACATAACTGTAAATGTGAAAATTTTTCTTCTTCGAAAAATCGTTTTCCCAGATTTTACACCTAATAAAAAATATTACACACTAATTTATTATTTCGGTGATGCTTTAATCAGAATAATGGTCGCTAATAAAAAATACATCACACAGAATCTCATTAACCATTCAAGGATAAATTGCTAATTAGCTAATTACCTAATTATATTTTTCACAATATTGCTTCATATTAATTTACTTTCTTCCAACAAAGCTCCAATAATTAAATGTGTCAAAAATGTTTAGCAACTGAAATACTGTTTTTATAAAAAACAACAATATATGCCTGTACATAAATACATAAACGAGGAAATTAGCGAGATAAGGTACCACCTGCACTTTCCTTGTAACAAACTAGATACATCTCATTTA